ACGGTAACTGTAACGGAATACAGTTACTCATATTTTGTATTTTAAATACGTAACGGCGGTACATGTATTCCGTTACTCCCCAACACTGCATACGGAACATATGGAGCAGATTTCATCACAAATGCATCCGACACATGTTCAAAAACAATCAACCCCAGAAAACCTCCTGTGGAAACATCAGAACACCTCAAAGATTTTTGAGTTTGTCGTGCCGGAAATTTTTCATACCTTTGGTCCCGTTTGCTCCGTTTTGCTCGTCTGCTGCTGCTCGTTTCACCGATGAGTAGGTGGCAGCCGCTGAGAGATCTTTTTCTGTAAAGTCAATTTGAAACATTAGCATTTGTGTCATTTGTGTCAATTAAAACGTCAAGAGGAAAGATTGTGTTTGATAAAAAGCTGGATGACTCTGAGATACATTTCTTCAAATAACATTCGAATAAAAAAAGTGTTTCCCCATTTTTTAAATCAGAAAAACAGGAAACTGAAGTGCAGCAGAGCTTCTTTGTTGTTGTCGCTCTTCTAGTACGCTGACGTGCAGAAACATGGATATCTGCCCACAAACTAACGTACGCCAAGAGCTAACAGTACTGAAACGTTGAACTGATGGAAGAAAATAAAAATCAGGACACCTGCAATTACTTTCTAACGGAAGCACCAGACTTTCATCTGAAACCCCAAACATGAACCTTGTGGAACTTTTTAGGAAACATCAAACATTTTAAAGCTTATCTTGCAGGAAACTCGGCGTACCTCTCGTCCTGTTTGAGGCTGTTCTTCTCACCGACGAGTAGATTGCAGTTGCAGCTGCTGGGGGATCTTTCTCTGCATAAATCAAGTCAGATTTTCCTCTGAGAACAGATAACTGTCACTGCTGCTGCTTCAGCATTTGAAATAATGATATTAATAAATCAGGAATCAGTGGGAAGGGAAAAGTGCAGTCGGGATGAATCTGATATAAAACTGTATTTCTTTCTTTCTCTGAGTCTTCCAGTGAAACAACATGTAAAAAAATGGGGGGTTTAACACAAGATAAGATAAGTTTATCTAATCTGATACAGGGAGGAGTCGCCTGTTTCAACACCACAAGAGTCAGAAGGACCCTCAGCCTGTTAGTAGGTGGGCCAAAAAAAAAAAAGGGGGGGCAACTTGTCCCTTTCTTGTAATTATTACTACAGTTTGTTATTAAGCAAGAAGGAAAGGGTATGCACACTTCTAAATTATATTCACTAAACAAAATACTGTGGGATGAAGACAATCTAAATAAAATAAAAACAAATGAAATACAAACATCAGCCACACAATCAACTCTAACCTAGAATGAAATACCAAAAAAATAATAATAATAAAAAAAATAAGTTTCTCAACTTCTGAGTGACACATGAGCTGAAAAACTATTAAAGGGAAACAATTACATTTAGAATCAGGTCACAATAAAACTGTTCGTATACCAGACTTTCAGAAAACTTGACCTCTGACCTTGATTTTAAAATCAAGGTTCCTGAGATTTGAATTGATCCCAGATTTTTTAGATGTATCTATGGTACCAATTTATAATTATATTAATCACCTTATCAGAATCTGAATCAGATCAATCCCAGCACTTTTTTAATCCCAGAGGAAATTATGTGGCTATGCTTGCTCCAAGGCAGTAAAGAACAGTAGCTAACCAAAGTAAATGAAATAAACAACATATTACAAAGTTACAAAATATAATAAAGTAGCTCTTATTATAAATATACTGGTAAATGACACATAAATGAGTGTAATGTAATAATATATTCTTGTGTTTACACAGTTGGATCTCCACGCTGCCAGTTGGTCTGACGGTGTGACAAAAATAAAGATTAATATATTTAAAGTAATGTATAACATATACACTTAAAGCCGTGTCAAAGGGATTTCTTATATGTCCAGTGCAGTGGAAATGATAGAATATATACACATGATAAAATAGTAGCATGATGCAGTTCACCCTAAAAGTATCACCAGTGTCTGAACGAGCACATGTTGGAGATTCTCTTCAAAAAACCCCAAAACACGAAACTTGAGTAACATTTTGAAGAAACGTTGGATCATCAAAGAATCTAGATACTATCTAACAGGAAATGTTTCCTACCACTCGTCCTGTTTGACTCATACTGCTGGTTCGATACGGTTCTTCTCACTGGTGAGTAGGTAGCGGTGGCTGCTGCAGGATCTCTTTCTGCAAAAATGAGATGAAAAAGATTTTCCACTGATAACTGTAGTGTAACTGCCGATGTTTCGATGTTTGGAGCACTAATATTCATAATCATCTAATGATGATTAAAATGCAAAGTGGAGGAAAGACTAAAGTCAGCATTAAGGTGGGTGATCTTTGTGAGACCTGCGGTAAAACATGTAAAAGAAAAAAAACTTTTTTTTCTCTTCTTTTAGTCAGAAAACAGGAAACTGGACGGCGGCGACGCTTCTGTTCATTCGATAGACTCTGACCACAAAATTTCAAGTGCAGCATCACAGTTCACCCAAAGCAAAACAAAAACATTTCGTGTAAACTAGATTAAAAGCGTGTTATTGAACATGAAATGCAGAAGCAGAAAATGTTGCACAACTGCAGTGTGTAGTTTCACTATAAATGTTGTAATTTAACTGTTTAAAAACAAGTGCTCACAAAGATAGAAGTGCAAAAACAGCACATCCTGTGCATCATGTGACTGTTATTAAAGGAACAGTTCACCTCATGGTCACACCTACATGTGTGATTATGTTTATCAGTTACTTCAGTGTGAATTTCCCACTGTGTGAGATATCAGCGTCAGTGTAACAGCACTGACTTTTCACTTTATAGCACTCAGAGAAAAACACTAGATTGTGTTATTTTGTCCCTTTAAGCTGGTTTATATAGAAACATTAAATGTGAGCAGAATGTGTGTCTCACCTTCAGGTTTCCTCCAGACACATCTTCTCACCAGTACAACCAGTACAACCAGCAGTAGCAGCCCAAATATGGAGGAAACTGACAGCACCGCGAAGAAGGAAACAGTAGAAAGAGAGGAGAGGTGGAGGGAGGCAGTCGAGGCTGATGGAGGAGGAGAGGTAGAAGAACCTGAAACTAAAGAGAAACACAAATCTTTGTGGTCAGTTTGACTCACTTTGGGTCTAAAGTCTGTAAAAGAAACAGAAGCTTCACCTGTGACAGTGATCCAGCTGGATGGAGACTCTCCATGACCGCTGATGTCACACTTGTAGAGGCCTTCATCAGACCTGGAAACATGCTGGATGGTCATGTGACCTGTAGTCATGTTCCTGATGAAGACGCCATCTTTATAGAAAGCAGCTGGGAGGTTGGAGGGAGTGGTCTTTGTTTTACAGAGCAGAGTGACGTCATCTCCCTCCATCACAGGGAGGAC